GTCCAGGCGGGGAACCAATTTGTAAGGGGACATGATCTCAAGGCTTCAACTAGAGAGATAAAGGATCAGCAGCTATGTGTGACAGAGAGCCAGCATGGCTGCATATATCAACACAGATTCGGAGAATCAGAGTTCGATTAGAAAATTTGTGAAAGAAATGAACGTTGGTGTTCATTCCTCTTTGGCAGTGTCCCATGTTTTCTCCAAGTCTCCAGAATGCCTCAGCCCCCGGTTGTCTGTTGCTGGCAACATTCAGCTTGGGCCGACTGAAATGTGAAACACTTTATTGGAAAATGGTGCAGCTCTAGAGACCTCAAGAGGACCACCTTCACTCTGCCTTTCATTTTGTGTTGTCTTTGCCTCTGCCTAATCATTTTATGCATCAGTTTGCCTTTGGCCCATCAGCCTTTTCTATTCCTCTTTCTGCCATGAAAATGATATTATAATGACATCCTTTTGCCAAACTAAACTAATTACAATTAAAAATAAAAAACTGAAAGCCAATTGGTCTTTGGTCGTTGATTTTCTTGTTCTGATATGGTCATTTGATATTAGTTTGATTTGCAATTAGTTTTTGAGATTTATTTCCCAAGTGTTCATGTAAGGATCTTGAGGTGTTGAGGAAATATTCTACAGCCTGATTAATTCTTGATTTTAGTAAATAAAATAAAATTTAATTGGTTTAAAATAATTAGAGTTTAAAGAATTAAATTTGAAGAATAAAAAAAGGCCTAGTCCTTTGTTTTTTTCAAATTATAATGATTTCCACAATCAAGGGGAAGTTCATGCCTTTTTTTTTTTAATTTTGATCCCTTAATTTTTTTTTACAATTTGATCACTTTGCATTAGCTTTATTTAAGATATCATTTAATGTTTTGTTTTGGTTTTCTTGATTTTATTTTATTTTATTTTTTAATATTTGATTTGCAGGGAATTAAGTTTCAAATTTTTTTCATTTTGTTTTCTATAAATTTAATTTTATTTTTTAATATTTGATTTGTAGGGAATTAAGTTTTAAATTTTTTTCATTTTGCTTTCTATAAGATTATCATTTTTTTATTTAATTTTTGCTTTATTACCAAATATTAAGGGGATATATTTTTATAATATTGGAAAGTATTTATTTTTTAATTTGATCAATATATATTTTTTTAGTTTAATTTATTTATTGTTTTTGTTTTTTTAATTATATTATTAAATTATTTATATTTAAGTTGAATCAATGATTTAAATCTCATATTTTTTTTACTTTTGTAAATTTGCTAATGTCGGCTCAACATTTCTTTTATATTAAAAAAACTTATTCGACTGACGGCTCACTAATCTAGTTATGAATAATTAGTAACCTTTCTGTATCTCTGTCCATCCGTGCCTAAGCTGATCTGAAAAAAGATTAAAAAAAAAGAATTATGTACAAACTTTTAACAAAATTGTTGTTTCCGAACATCTCATGTCTGCAAAACACCACATAACTGTTACTGGTGCCTCCATTAAAAAGTGCTGGAAGTCAAGCTTTCTACTGGAAGTTTATTTTTTAATTAATATAGTTATTCAGGTTCGGGTCAGCAGCATGTGTATATTTTAATTAATGTTATAGATTTTAAAGTTAAAAATTACATAAAATTTTATTAATCCTAAAAAAATTCTAAGTTTAAAACTTTATCAATTGAATTATTTCTTGTTATTCCTTTCTAAGAATAGGTGACAGGGTTACTAGTTAGTCATCTAAAAGAAAATCCTGTAGATGGGCAAGTAGAATGGTCCTTTTGGTATATAAATAGTGCTCAAGGCAACCACATGGCCCCCACAACCTATCTAAAAACAAAGAAAACAGATATTTTTTAGTGGAGGCCGGAATAAGATGCCGAGAAGAGATATTGATAAAAAATAAATAAAAAATAAAAGGAGTGGTTAATGGGCTGATGCTAACAAATTCCCGCGACAATGCATGTAGGTTTGTGTTTGGGCTAACTTTTGTGCAGAGAATATAGCAAGGCTGTTGAAAGGATTTGCCCCCACAATTCACTTTTGTGATACACAATACAGCCAAGAGAAGTCATCTTCATGGATTCTTGACTGGTTCACGCAATTCATGGATTGATAAATGACGATGAAAGTCATCAATTATTTGTTAGCAGCTTCTGCTAGCGATCAATCAAGATTAATTTTGTTGTTTATAAGGTCACTTTCTTGATGGGTGTTTTTTTATCCTCTGCCTCTGCCGAATCAATTATCGACGAGGTCAAACCATTTATGGCCCGAATGCCTCAGTTTGCTTACCAAGTCAGACTCTGGCCCAAGGAAGATCTCTTGGGCCAGTGACCCCGAGCTATATTCATGTTTTCAAATACTTTCTGAGCATTTGCCAGGAAGAGTTCGGCGGTAGATCTATTTGCCTGGACTTTCGAAACACCAGAAACTTTTGCAATTTACCAGCCTGTGCCAGTTGTTATCGTGTTTGACACAAAGAGGAGAAAACATGTTCATTTGGTTCTCGAGGTAGAATTTGCCGGTGTTCTAGACTTGCCAAACAGTCAGATTGAATTAATTCGGTGTTAGATTTGACATTAGTTCCAGAAATTCACTCTGATTGACGCGACTATTAAATATTCATAGTTCGAATTTGTTTGGTATAGCGTTAGGTTAGAATTTCTACTGGTTCTAGAAGAGGGAAATTGTCAGAAATTGTGAAACCAGGAAAAAAATCGAAAAGAAAAAATGTAGGTCCAAAATCCAGAATCCAAATTAGATATGAAGTTAAGAACTTGTGCCTTATAATCTCTTGATTGAATAATATTAAAAAATATAGGGTTTGAATTGTAATAACAATTATTTTTTAAAGTATTTTTTATTTTTAAAATTTATTTTAAATTTCAACCTATCAAAACAATCTAAAAATATATATAATAAATACAAAATCAGTCACAGTCCTGGAACCGGAGCCCCCTTCCGCTGTCGCTGTTACTGGTTAAGTATTAAATTTGACGGGGAAGATAAGGAGGAATACATGGTCAAATGTTACGTCACTGAACTGAATAATTGAGAATTCTTTGGCTAGACAAGGCTCCTCAGAATCCAGATCATTTTCCTTTGTTGTTTCATGTCAAGGGCAAAATAAAGATCAGATTTGGATCTCGACGCTGAAAATGTGATTTCCTTGTTTGACTGATAGAGAGAAAAGAAGGCTTCTGTTTTTATTTCTTTGTTTAATTTTCAAACATTTATCCTACCGCCCACTGATGGTATGTATATTTCAAGCATCTTTAAAGTTTATAGCAGTAAAGGCAAGAAAATCTGCGCGCACCCAGCCATTCAAACGCAAAATCGAATATCCTCTTCTTTTTTTCTTGCTTCCGAATTTTTATAGTCATCGAAGAATAAGGATACGAGTAGTATACTTGTTATTGTTCGGAACTACATTATATTATGTTTGGATCTCTCATCTCGGACGCGAGAGTATAGCCATCCAGATCAAGCTGTAGATTGAAGCTGTCGGTGAGTCCACTGGTTTTCAATGGCCAACCAATCAAATGGACCATGTATTTGCCACACAAAAAAAGGGGCTACGTGTTATAATTGTCATGGTTGTTTTTCTTTAACAATTATTTTTTTTGTCTTTTCATTTAGATATGTTTACTTATTATTTCAAGATAAAAATAATTAGAAGATAATTTTAAATAGTATAAATATGACCTTTTTTTTATTATATATATTTCAATATAAAAAAGCTATTTAAAAAACCAATTGTATTGGAGTGAGAAAAATAAATGTTTTATTTTTTTAATTAGTTTAATGCTATTTTTTTCACATGACTATATTTAATTAGTTTTTTTTTATTAACCCCACCTTATTGGTTTTGGTTTTTAAAAAAAATACATAGAAATGTCATTTGTAGAAAAAAAAATTACATTTTATTTAGCATTTCCTTTAAACATATAAAACAACATGAAAGAGCAAAAATAATATATATTTTTTATTTTTAGCTTTTCATTTAACAAATTCATGGAGCTGCTCTAACACTCATTTACTCTTTGTTTTTTAGAATACACAACCCATAAATATTTGTTGTTCTACATTGAAAAATATTCAGAGACATGTTATAAAAAAATATAAAACTAAATATTTATAAATTATTTTTCTGGTTTATTAAAAAAATGTAACATAAAAAACTAAAAAAACCTCACTGAATTAAGCCAAATCACCCGATTTCTAGGTTCACCAGGCAAGTCATAAGGGGTTTTACAGGGTGAATTGGAGACCCGGGTTTTATCTACTTCAAACCCTGCCAAGAGCCAAAATCCCTGGTCAACAGGTTCTGGTGAGCCGGATTTTATAAGAAGGCGTCGTATCCCCGACTGGTAGCTAGAATTTGTGAGAATTTGTCTTTTTTAATTAAACAAGATTCTTCTCGCAGTTTCTTTCGATGAATTGAGTGCTTTATATTTTAAAAATAAATTTAAAAATATTAAAAAAATAAATTTTTAAATTAATAAATTTTTAATTATTTTGATATATTAATATTAAAAATAATTTTAAAAAATAAATAATTATTATTTTAATACATTATTAAATAAAAATATTTTAAAAAACAATATCACTTCTAAACACACTCTAAAATTAAACAAGAACAGCTCCTTCTAGTCTCAGTAACCATTCTGAAATGGAATTGCCCTTCTAGGCTTCAGAATCCATTGAAATACAATCCGCTAAGTGTGTCTATATATATATATATATAAAAAGCAATGAGAGCTATTTATAATTATCGTTGCCGGTGATCTGGCCGGATATCATCTCGATATTCAGGCGACCTTGCAAAATCTCTCTCTCTCTCTGCGGACTTGCTAAAAGAAATATAGCTTTTAGCATATCAATCAAAACGACGTAGCTCTCTATATGCATAAAAAACCGTTGCAACATTTGTTTATTAAATCCTGTAGTTTTTATTTATTTTGTCAAATACAATAGATTTTCAATTTGAATCTGGAGAGGGAAAAAAAAAAATCGGTAATAAAATTATGCACAAATCCGTTACTTTCTCGTGCTTAAAATAATAAAAAAAACGATGGCATAGAGTATATGATAAATATTAACAAAAAAGTATGTATAATTAGATTTTTTTAAGATAAAAAAAAAGGGCCTCAACTAAGACCAGTACTCTCTGATAATTAATCAGCATTCATCCATTCTAATTTCTAAATCTATACAGGCACAGAAAACGAGGGCTTAAACTTAGCCGGCTCGTAACATAAAGGAGCCGCCGGGTGCTGCCACTTCGTGAACACCACTGGCTTCTCCCCCTCCGTTCCCTGACTCCTCGGCGGTGGTTGCGGATCCTCCCGAGACTTCATGTCCATCGCGGTAGGCGAACTAACAAGCGGAGACAAAAGAGGAATCGCAACTTTCCAACAGGAAGAAGAAGAAGAAGAAGAAGAAGAAGAAGAAGAAGAAGAAGAAGAAGCTGGACTGATCTGCAAGGACGCTGGTCTCCGCCGCTGGAGCCGGCTGGGCTGCGACCGAGCTGCGGCGGAGTTGCTATTTCGAAATGTATTTGCCATGATTAGATTTGTGACCACAACTACAGATTGGGAGGGGAGAGTGGGGGTGCTTATATAGGATGCTATGCGAGGTGTGGCCCTGGCTGGGGGTTATGGGCATGTGGTGTACACGTTAGGGAATCCCTTCTGTACAAGGAAAAGGTCAAAAGGCGTAATAGCATTGGAATACTTATATGGCTCGGCTTTTATTTAGCCTTCGCTTTTTGGTTTTTTGATTTGACTGCAAGGATTTTGATTTTTTTTTAAATTCCTGTTTTAGTTTAGGGAATTTTTGCGACTTTCCCTTTTTCTTTTTCCATTTTATATGGGGTTTTGTGTTGACCGAATATGTTTAGGAAACGCTAGAAAGGTGAAAAGGAAAGGATTTTTTTTTCATTAAGAAGACCAAAACGGGAGCGTATTACTTACCATATATTATTTTTAATCAAATTCTTGATAAGAAAGCAAGATCAAACTTGAATTCACGTGACAGTATACCATACCAATTTCTTTCTTTTTTTTTCTTTTCTTTCGAAGGTAATTTTTATTAATATTGATGAAGCTTGCAATTAGGGGTGAAACTTTTTTTTTTTTTCAAATTATAAAAGAGTCATGGCAAAATTAATCAGGGATAAATTGATAAGGATATCCTTTTTTATTACAGTAAAATAATTATTTTGTTTTAAAACTAAAAAAAAAAGTTAAGCTTTCGGAGAGGGGTTCTTTAGTTATGTTTAAAATAATTTAAAAGGAGAAATTAGACGTATAAATCAGTTTGAAAATATTCACCATTGTCAATTAATTAAAAACTAAAAATCATACTTTAGTCTCACCCAAATGTCTGAAACTCAATACTTAATATATTTTTATTTTTTGACAGAGAAAAAAAAAAGAATAGCAGTTTTCGGCAACCGAAAAGGGCTTGGCCATCCCATGAAACCCCACTCAAATCTTGCGAAGAGGTCTTTTGAAGAAGGCTAATTGTTTAAAAATATATATATATATCTATAAGGAGCAGCCCGAAAAAAAAATATATATATATATATATAAGGAGCAGCCAATATTTTAATAATCTCACTGAACTCCCCCAAACTAGTCGAAGGTTCCAGTCGGAGGTCAAATGAAGAAGGAATGCTTTTTTCTTGCGAGTAGAAAACTAATAAATTCCGACAAGTTATAAGCTGAGCCAAGCGAAGCTGAGAGAGAAGCAACAGCAACAGAAGAATCAAGAAACCCAAGCTGATAGGTAAAGGCGACATTAAGCAAAAGTAACACGGTCAAGAGGCTGAGTTTGGGTTTTTTCTGACACCTGACACTTTAGCCGACCCAACTAACTTGAAAATTGTGGGGGGCCTTTTCTATGCTCTTACGCCGTTAGATTTTTGACCCATCAAATTCCATCCTACGGCACAGCACAAAGATGCTCCATGCTAACGTTACATGATGCATCTGGCAGCCTCCAAAATGTTAATGGTTTTTAACGAAACAATTATCTGTCAGAGACAGAATCCAGTGGCTGGGTTCGGGTTACGTGGTCAATCCCAAGCCTTTGTTTTTCCAACTTTTGATCACCAAGTGTATGATCTCCATTAATCGTCTTCTATTCCTATCGGCCTTTTCTTGAATTTTTGGTGCTTGATGACAAATCGGTGTCGATACAGTATCGGGATGCTCCTTTCTCTTGTCACAATCCAGCTGTAACTGGTGAAGGATTGAATTTTCTGTCGTCTCGAGGACCTTGGATTGTAATCTGGGACAGACATATTTGCCTGTGGATGGTCAAGCATCATGCACTATTGTTGGATACGATTAAATTCAAAGAGAGAATAATTTGGAGCAATACTTGTTGAAATGCCAGGATTTTCAAAATGGGGCCTCTCGGCATGTACAAGCAAGACCTTCGGGGGCATGGGTCCCTTAACTTCATTAATTGTAACGAAAAGAACTTCAAAGTAAAACAGCATTTCCTGCTTTTCGATCCTTGCTGGCCGGACTTCCTTGATGGTGAGGGCAACGGAAATCATGCGTCACTTCCTTGCTTGAACTTCTTGCTGGCGTTCCTCCACCGTGCCCTGCAAGACCATAAACGATTAGATTAGGTTCCTAGTGCTACGGAGGTAGCTTGCTTCTTGACAAAGACCAATAAGTAATTAGAAGCTCAAGCTAAGCCCAAGTTAGTGATAATGAATAGGGGTCAGAAGCTCAAACTCCAAATAATAATATATTATTTGAACAGAAAGACAGAACAAAAATGAAAGGATACCGTCAGGAATTTTGTTAATGGATCCGTTGATTTGTAAAACTGAAGGGTATGTCAGTCACAGCTCACAGGCTTGTCAACTAATCTTGTATATGTCAAATTTGTCAGAGCTCAACCCTGACTAATGCAATGCTCAGGCACAAGATCGTAACTGAGTAACAGGATTTCATGTTAATATTCTAAAACTTCACTCTACATCGATACTGCACGCTGAGATGCCGTACAAGGCAATATGAAGCAAATTGCAGACTTCCAGGCAAATACAACTGGTAGAGATGATGAAACCGAGGAATTCATCTTATGCGAATCCACTATAAAGGACTTTGAGCGAACCAACGTTGAATTAAGGAAAAGGTAAACAGTCAATTGTCAGCACTCAAGTTGCCACAACAATTACGCAGCCAAAACAATATAAGGCCTTTGACAAGGACTTGGAAGAAAGCCTCTAGTTGCTAAATTATACCGAAATCGTTAAGCTTGGATGCCTTCGTTGTTGCACTCTCAAAATTTGACTTAGTCAAATACCTCTTTTATTCAACTATGAGAAGCTTAGAGCTGCTTTTCAATAAGCCCCAGCAATTAGCCTTAAATTTAATAAATTCATGGACCACTGTTGTATCCACATCAACGTGAAAGTTGAAACGCATATAATCAACTTGCTATAATTCAAAAAAACAAAAACCCACAAGTTTCAGGTTAAATATTTGACAATTCGGAGAAAATAGAGCTTCCTTAAATTCAAATTAATTTTTGAAAACTTGAAAAGCTAAGAGAATAATATGACCTTAACGGAGAATCTTTTAACTGAACTGTGCATTTGTGTCCAGACCGGTGAATTCCCATTATTGCTTGCTCCTCTGCTGCAGGATTCCACCAGGGATCCTGCATAATTGATATAGCAAGTTTCGACATGATGTTGGTAATTCCAACCAGTGATGTATTAATATTTATTCATAAGAGGTCAAGCATATTAATATAATATTTAATGTGATTTGGTAAATCATCTACATCCATGGAAAAGTCAATATTATTAGAGATAGAGAAAAAATACAAAACAAATACATAAAGGATGAGGATTACACCCATTAACACTCTATTCCCAGCTCTCATTTCTGCCCTTGCAGCTGCTGCAATGGCAACAAGGTTGCTGCCATTGCAGCTCTTTCTTTATTTCTATTCTCTTACATACACTCACCACTTTCTCTCTCTCATTTGCTCTCATAAAATCATGCCTCTTTTATAGGCAAATATGGTGAGCTCCTCCAACTTTATTGTCAACATGGAAGGGACAATAAATCCATGAAACATGACAAAAATTATGCCATAATTTGTGCTCTCACTTGTACAAGTTGAGTGGAGTGGTTGCCACAATAATGACAATTTCCCAACAATCACCCTATTTGCCATTTATATGAGCAATTGTCCTCTTGCTTCATCAGCACAAGCTTGCATCCTACAACTCTTCCTAGCTTACCATTCCGAGAGCATCTGTGGTCAAATTTATAGGTACTTGCCAAACCTTTTAATCACTAGAGTAACCTAAGCACACCCTTGCTCACACCAAAGGATCACTTCAACCAAATGGTCTCCCACATTACATCTGAAGAGTATTAATGCTTGTCTCTAGAACACAACATACCCCTTCAAGCGTATCAACCATGCTCGGTTCGGAATGATTTTTCAAGCCTCACACCAAGGCTTACAACACCTCCTCAAATGGAAATTTCTATTTTCAAGTGCGACAGTCATTATCTGAGTATCTCAATATGATCACAAGCTCACCACTCTTCCAAGAGTCTACTCATCCAAGAGTTGCATCTGCTCTCTGTTCCACTCTAGGAACCACGCCTTACTTTTCTATGAGTCTCTCGCTCTTAATCTCAAGAGTCTAGGTAGCTTTCCACCTTTAACCATGGGGGCAGCCCATTAAAGATTGATCCATATATGTCTTGATACTCCGAGTATTACAATGCCTTCACCGAGCTCACCACCTTGACATGAGTCAACTTGTTCCAGGAACCTACGCATGCCCTCTGCTTCTACACAGCAGTTACGTCTTAATGCTCCACAAGCCATCCATTTATTATCCAAAGAAAATGTCTTCTAGCTCATTGATCTTTAGCATGGGGGCAATATCCATGAAAGTCAATCCTACATTTGTCTCCATACTCATCATAGTTTGTCTCCATACTCATTATAGCCACTTCATTGGTTATCCATCTATCTACTCATATCTAGCCATCACATCGGTTCTAGGGCATTTTGAACTGGGCTCTTTCCACGACCCTCATACTTTCTCCTGAGATGTCTCCGCTCGTCGTCATGCGGCAATCTGATCCTGGACTCATCTCCTCCGCTCGTCGTCATGCGGCGGTCTGATCCTGGACTCATCTTATAGCCTTCACACATTTTCTTTAAGGTGTCTTCACTTTTCATAGGCGGTCGCGCATCCTCCTTCAACTGGGACACTTCAAAGTGGCTCAAAAAATTCTCTACCATCATATGGACTATAAGAGAGATCATTGCCACTGATCACATAGAAAGAGTGAGTTGCGATACACTCCTTACAATCGTCCATATCGATTTCTATGTCTGGAGCTTTTACGCATTTCTGCTTGACAGCTCTACCCACCACATAGAAAGAGTGAGTTGCGATACACTCCTTACAATCGTCCATATCGATTTCTATGTCTGGAGCTTTTACGCATTTCTGCTTGACAGCTCTACCCACACCAACTCCTTTTGGTGTCTTCGTCTTTCATCATAGGCGGTCGCCTTTTATCAGAGGCGTTTGCACCCCCTCAATTAGGTGCATCTGCAATAGTTTATCTTTCTATCCTTGCATACATTGGAAAGGTCCTCGCTTGTTACCTTTATCA